AAAAAAAAACATGAAACAGCTTCTACCAGCGTTCCAGTTACCTCTGCAGTTGATTCTCAGCCTTGCACAATCTTAGGTGTTTGCACCATCGCCTTTGCTGGACGCAGAATTGTTCATGCACCCGAGAAGTTGGTTTATAGCTGCCAAACTCTGCAGATATAGCCACAAGACGAGCAGCTTGAGAAGTGACAGAACAGGAGTACCGGTGTCAACTGTGCACATGCAATGTGACTTTCTAAGGTGCAATATCTCAAACTTGGAAAACGCAGTCCTGAAAATGAAGTCAAAAAGCAGAGCGGAGCTCAAAGCAAACCGTTCTTCACATCAAGTGAGTTTGACTGAACAGCAAATAACAACAACGGAAGAATAATGCTTCGAGTAAGAATCATTTGACAACAAGTACAAATGATAATTGCGTGAGCTCAGCATTACCCTGTGTCCTGTCAGCTAGCTCAGTAGGTTTCATGCCTAAGTGGCCCCACGTAGGTGCTGGGTTCTAATCCCTCTGTCTTCACTTTCGGTGGCGTGACTAGGATGGCTAGGGCCAGTCAACGCTGCTAGCTCGCTGGGGTGAGTTGTGCGGCCCTGTTACCCCTGGAAATGAGTGAGCGTCAGGCCTGCTGGAAGTGGCTGCTCGGGCCCTGCTGCGGCCGGTTGGGACACACCGAATAAAAGAATTCTCAGGTTGAGTCAGAATCAAAATAGCAGACATTCATGGCTGGATTATGCCAGGGTTGAGACCCTCAATTTCATGATACTTCAAGAGGCTTAATCTCAGAACATACCTGTCATAACAAAAGCTCTATTGCCAATAATCATGACAAATAATCTGCAATAACTTCCAATGTCTTCCATAATAATCTCAAATTCCCTGGGCCCGATCACCTGTGGATATATCTCAAGACCAGGGCTGTGCCGGCAACCGGCCGGTTGTCCGGGCCGGATCCAACCGGGCCAGTTGGACCCCCGGTGGTCCAACCGGAATTCCGGTTGGGCCCAAAAGTGGGTCTTTTTTTTTTCTTCTTTTTTTGAAAACATGGTTGCGCTCGCCGAGATCTCCCCGAATCCGCAAAGAAAACTTTGCACGGGGGGGGGGGGGGTTTTTGGGGGGTGGGGGGCCGGGGGGTGGGGGGGGTTATGGTGAGGGTGTTAGCGGTGCAGTTTCAGCAAGCACGGGCTTCAGCAGACATTGACAACAACTAACCGGGCTTTCTGCAAACGTTAACCTTCCGCCTAAAAACTTTGAAAAGGGGGCTTGGGGGTGTTAGTGGTAGGGTAGGGAAGGTGGTCTATTGTGGCATACTGCGTAGCCACACAGGCCTGCAGAGACCGTCCCGCATTCTCAGCCTAAAAGCCTAGAAATAAGGGCTTACAGGCCCCGTGTCGTTCAGCCTGAAAGACTGAAAACGAGGGCTTGCAGGCCCTATGTCGTTTCAGCCTAAAACAGGGCTTTTCAGCCCTGAGGCTTTTCAGCCTGAAACGGAGGGCCACTTTCGGGCCCAGGCTATTTCTAGCCTGTTCCCCACGACAGCCTCAGCAAGAGGTGCAGTACCAGCCCCTGGTTCGCCCTGGCATTGGCAAGAGCAGCCTCCTGGACTGCCTCGCCCTGCAGCTGCAGGCAGTCAGGAGGCAGGCCGAGTAGTACATAGGGAGTTCCCATGCACTTCACGGGCAGGTAGTTGGACAGAAGGCAGGAGGCAGTCTTCAGGATTCGGCCGCAGCACTCTGGAGGAGCGCTGCAGGAGCAGCTTAGCACTAGCAGTAGTCTTCAACGCTGGGCGCTAGTAACAGTAGCAGTAGTCTTCAGCGCTGGGCGCTAGTACTGGTAGTAGTAGTGTTGGAGAGAGATGGCTGGCGGAGGCCAGTGAGACTTACCTGTGGCGCCATAGCTCCAGCTCCATCTTCGAGGTACCTGCATCAAGGCGCCAGCTTCACAGGTTCTTCTTCCTCTTCTAAGTCCACCATCTCTTCGTCACCCTCTCACTACCTGATTTCTCAGTATCAGCGGACTACGACAGAGAGGGAGAGTTGTGACTTGAGACTGGACGACATTGGATCCAGACTCGACATTGGGATTCAGACATTCTGACGAGGGACTATTTGGGCCTGTGCCGAAGACTTGGCGTTGACGACATTCCCATCTTCCCCTCTTCTTTGTGTACGGTTGGGGCTGGCGCATTCTTCCTGTGTGAGAGCCAGACCCCTTCACACCATGGAACGATGATGACGTATGTTGGGGCTGCATTGCAATATTGATTGTTCGGATCATTGGTATCTAAGTCTTCCGCTACGCTATCTTGTACTTTGTGAGAGAGGTCGGTTCTTGTTCTGGTCTGCACCTTTACAGTGTGCAACAGTTTGGTATCGGAGCAGACCTCTCATTTAGAGGACCCGCTCAATCAAGTAGCCAGCTTGCTTGATCTATTGATTACTCGTTAGTAAATCAAGTAGGACTCCGTCAAATCTCTGAAATTTTTTTTTTCTCGCAACAAATATCTGAAAATTTCTGATAATCGCATTTCGTTTTACCTGAAAATTTCTGATATTAGTATTTCGTTTTCACGCAACAAATATCTGAAAATTTCTGATAATCGCATTTCGTTTTATCTGAAAATTCCTGATAGTAGCATTTCGTTTCTCTGATATTCGGTTACATTGCCGAAAATTTCTGATGTTAACATTTCGTTTTCTAGGCATATTAGGATAACAATAGAAGTGGTCATATTCTTGGAATGCGGATTTATTCTTTTCTGAAAATCGAATCTCCATTCTATCTCGCAATTTTTTTTTTGAAAACCAAAATCTTGCGAAGCCTATCAGGATTTCGTTTAGGCATATTAAGAGGTTGTCATATTCTCAGAAATTAGATTTAGTTCTTTCTGAAAATCGCATCTCTACTCTATTTCGCAATTTTTTTTTTTTCAACATCGCATTTTTGTGAAAGCCGAAACTTTGCGGAACCTGGCCTAGATCTCCCTCATAGTACTCTTCTGACATGCCTCACTCATAGCAGATCGACAGACATACAAAAAAAAAAAAGAAAAAAAAAGGGGGGTAATATTCTTCTTTTATTTTTTTATTTAGTCTGTTGATTAGGACCGGGAGGAAAGTATAGCTGGGTTGGTTACCTACCTGCGTTTTCCCTCCCACCCACCCCTTTGCATGCATTCCCGGATTGGTACAGTGCCACGTCAGCAGTGCCACGTCAGCAACAGTGCCATGTCAGCAGTGCCACTTCAGCAGTGCCACATCAGCAGTGCCACATCAGCAACAGTGCCATGTCAGCAGTACCACGTCAGCAACAGTGCTACATCAGCAGTGCCACAGTGCCACGTCAGCAGTGCCCCGCCACCATGACGGGCTCAGCTCTGGGCATGCCAGGCCAACTGGCCAATGAGTCCATTGCCAAGTACCGACAGCGTTTCGAAGCTCAGTTAACACTAATCGAGGCTGAGGAACAGCGCCAGCTGGCAGCCGAGGCTGCCCGCCTACAAGCTGAAGCGGCGGCAACAGTTGAAAAGCAGCGGCTTCAAGCCGAAGCCGAAGCAGATACCAAGGCACGCCGCAAGGAGGCCCAGGATCTGTTACAACGGCATGAAGCCACCAGCATCGAAAAGCTCAAGTTTTGGCACTTTGAACCTTCAGAGGAGCACGACAACACGACACCGGAGGAGCAGCATAAGGAATTTTTGGCCAAGCTCGTGACCCAGTTGGTTTACACCTGTAACCACCTGCAGTCCGAGCTGGCGATTCTCCGACAGGCAATGCAGAACCACAAGGATCTGCACAAGGATGCTACACGGGCACTTCATTCCCGTGTACAGGACTTGGAGCAATCTGCACCAAGACCAGATGCTGGTGAGTCCAGCAGTGCACCCTCTACACGCCAATTGGAAGAACGAGTTGACCACGTAGTCGCAATGCTCGGCGTCATCAGCACCTTCGCTGCACCAGCCACCATCAGCAAGCAGCTGGACACGTTGAAGACCGAGGTTCAGCAACTGCACAAGCTGCCCAACAAGGATGGCAACACCGTGCAGCACTACAAGATGCCGACATTCCGCATCGAGAAGTTCGATGATTATACGCATGAAGACCCGGTCCCCTGATGGGAGGGCTTTACGATGGAACTTCGGATTCTTTTCGTCCACGAGCGCTCGTACATCGGCGCGCTGTTCCTCAACTCAAAGAGCGGATGCCAGATCTTGCTTAGCCACCTGGCAACCATACATGGCGTCGACGTCGCAGATCTGCACACAAAGATTCCTTGGGCAGATCTGACAAAGCTATGGAAGAAGCGGTTCATCGCGGACGACGCCCCGGCGGTCGCCATCAACCACCTCTTCATGATGACGCAAGGCAACACACCGACACGCGACTGGCTCACGGAATTGTTATGAACTTGGTTGTCTGACGAATTTTATCGCCACTCACACACAGACAATCTCACACATGCCCATACATGCATAAGAGAAGGGGAGAGAGGA